TAAGTCACCTGAGTTTTATTGCCACATCAAAAGATCAGCACGTTAGCTTGCATTAGAATCACAATTTCATTGTCTGCAGCAGGATATTATTACACACTAGCTTCTGGGGTTTTTTTCTGCTGCAAATTTATGGGAGAAGTTGCTGGCAGGGTGGAGAATGCTTACAGGACCTGGTGCATTTTCCACTACTGAGGCAAAACCACAAATACAGTGGCACGCGACCTGCAGCATCTCACATCAAAAGGTGTGGAAAAATGAGCAGCATAGTCATTACAGTCTTTGTGCTGAGACCTATTCATGGCAGACCTGATCCATTCAATTTTTAGTTACTATTCATTTTGCAGTATTCTCTTTTCACGATGTGCCACAGAGTTTATTCCTGGTGCACCAAACCGGCTTTGCTGCTTGGAGGCTGGCTGCCACCAAGCCCTAATTTGACACCTGTGAGGGGTGGAGGTTTTTTAGGAAAAAAGATACTTTGTCGCTCCTCTCTTGCTAGCCCCTTCATGAAGTTCCAGTTCTTAACAAGTTGGCTACCGTAGGGTTTCAGCTTCAGCAAGTCAGTTAAAGGCCCGAGGTTAGAGTTAGGTCAAGTCTGCCCAAATTCAGGAGACCGCTTTCCCTCTGTAGTCAGTGGAGTGGGAGACGTGCTTCCAGACAGCAGGATGTATCTTGCTGGTGGACTTCAGTGGATAGCAACTAACAGATCTACCTGCTGAAGGCGACGCCTACTTTAGGCATCCCGAACTATGACATGAGTTAGATTTCTTGAAATGAGCTGGTGCAATATAGACAGTTGACAAAGATTGTTTCCAAGTGCCAATGGGCTTGAACAGATGACAGTGGTTTGTGGTTTTTTTACGTCCCTTTTGAGACACCACTAGCATATTTTCTTCATGATAAGGACTGGAACGGGCATTTTGCAGAGCTGAGGAGGCTGGGTGGCTGCAACATCCATCTCGCATCTGTCATGCACGCTGCTTTACTTGACATCTACAGGAATTGTTGTCCCCACTCCATCAGCGGCTGTAAGCACACGCAATTGGGAGATGGCCCTTACTGCCCAAAACTTGTGATCTGTTAAACTGCTGTTAGCAACCCTACTGTAACATGTCTGCCTTTGGTGAGCTGTGCTGCCTTTTCTCTTGCCCTTTAAAATGGCAAAGCTATGAAAAGGTAAGCACCAAAACCTGGTTATCATGCTTAATTACTGTAATACGTATTTAGAGGCAAAGACTATGTTTACTTTTTAATAGCATTACACTTGGGAAAAGAAAAAACAGAAGTGAAAAAAACGATGATGAGGTGGATTTACTTGAAGGCAACCGTGGCTTCTCTTCATGCTGTTTTGCAGCACGTGTGCTCTGCACTGCAAGAGAGGAGAGGAGAAGTACCAGTTGCTTCCCATCAGCAAAATGGCCACAGGTGCCCTGCGTTGCGGTGAGGGCCTGCCTCCACGCACAGCCCCTGCCGTGGGTGTTTTAAAGAAAAGCGTGCGCTCAAAGCATTGCTAAGTACATGGTACTGTGGGGTTTGGTTGCTTTTGGGGCTGTGTGGATTTTTTTTTTCTTTTAAGGATATTTGTTAAGAAAACTCCACACAACCCTCAAGCGATGTTACCAGTGACTGGGAGGCGTGCCTGGCACTGAGGGTAAGCTTCACCCTTCAGCATCTTCTCCTGATGGAGACGGTGGGTGCTCCTGCGGTGGGCACTGCTGCCCTGGGACTTGGTGGCACCCCAAGGGGCAGCGGTGGGCCTGGCTAACAGGTGTGGAAAGCAGGGCCATCCGTGGGAGAACATGGAGGCTGTGCTTGGGGAAGGCCTGTTTTCTGCTGGGATGGATTTCTCTGTGGTTAAACACGCTGAAAAAATGAAGGGAGAGAGAAGGGACCTCGGGGAAGGTTTCGGACACAAAGGCCCAGGCCCCTCACAGCAGAGCCAGGTGTCTTCATGGGGCACGGCTGGGTGAAGGCCATCCCTCTGTGGTGAGATGTGTGACAGCCGTCGGGCAGCGGGCTTACACCCCCCCACCCGTGACGTGGGGTGCCGATGGGGTCTCACAGGGCTGGGACGGG